TAGCGCAGATAGCCCTCGTGTAGCTTTGCGCGAAATTCAAAAACAAACAAACAAAGACAATCGTGTTATAATTAAATAAAGCTAAGGTCGGAAAAGAAGCATTCGCATTTAGAGTTATGTAAATTTTATTTTATTTAAAATAATGTCTGAATCCAACCTGTAATCTAAGAACGTAAACAAACTACTTAATGCCGTGTAATGTGCTTAGATTTTTCCTATTGGAGTGAACGGTATGTGATTCCGAATGATCTCGCATTATCGTTCATAGTATAAACTTTGAAAGGATATTTATTTTAAGGGATAACGAAACTTTTGAACAAATATTGTCTAAAATGAAAATAAAAAGCCTGATTCAAAACACTTTACTAATAACTCGTTCAAAATATAAAACGAAAATAAAATAATGTGGACACTTCTGAAACATGGGAGTGGAAGAGAAAGAGAAGGTTGGAAAATTGCAGAGAATACATATGAAGTGAATAGTGAAAAATCGATAAACATACACCTCAGAACACATGGCAACTGGAGACAGGAAGATTAAATATGTAAATAATTGGAGTGAAAGAAATTTGGGCATATGTTTGAGATAATGAAAATGAAAGAATATAAATGGCCAAAACATATTTGGTGTAGATCGTAAGAGAAATATAAAACAGCAGGTACACAACAGGAATGATAAAAAGAGCATTGAAATGAGTTTTAAACACAAAGGTGTATTTTTTAAGCAAAAGTAAATACGATAAAGCTAGAAAAGATGGCCGAAGAAACAGGAGAATTGAAAAACAATCAATACATTCTAAGTATCATTAAGAAAAATATCTAAAAGAAGAAATTTATGAGTCACAATATCAGAAGAGAGAAGAAAAAATAATAAAACACGATGAAGGCTAATATATGATGCATTTGTAATGGATGAGCCAAGAAGAACAGAAATGTGGAGGATGCGAAAAGGAAGACGAATGTATTGACAAGATCTGGAATTTGAAGAGGTGCAAAAGGAAAGAAGCAAGGATTTCGAGTGGATACAAAAAAAGAAGGATAAACTTGGAAACCTGTGAAAGGAAAGATAACAAAAGAAATGTGTAAATATTTTGAAGAGTTTAAAAACGACTGTGAAGAGAAATAGTAATTATTTTAAAGATGTGTTTCACCACTTAAGTTTGGTAGATGGTTGTTATAATTAATTGAATTTTACTATGATTATGATTGTATGGAATATATTTATAAAGGAATTATGTAACTCTTTCTAAGTGATTATATATATTTCATAAAATAAAAAAGCAATCAATAAACATGGCGTAAAGACAGTACGACTAACACAACACTGTAGTTGATAGTTTGTTATTCCTTTATAATATATTTCATATACGTTAACTCTTTGTTCAAATATAAGTATAACACTCACTATTCAATTAGTTTGCCATGTATATTAGATAGAATTTTAATTTCAACTTATTATCACATGTTTTTGGTCGAATGGTTATAGTCAGTGATTCTAACGATACATTTTGAACTTCAACAATGTTTGGTTTAATCTTTTTAAGTACTTCTTTTGTTAGTAGATCCTCAACTATCGTACAGTTTTAGCACAAAGTTGTAATAATACGATTCAAGGTTCTCAAGAGAGAGAGAGATTTATCTCTAAAAACCAAACCTTGAGGGGGTTTTATTCCCAAGGAGGCAGCTTCTCAGAAGAGAATAATTGACTCGCATGATTACCTTACGTGATAAATCCGTTTCATATATCCTTTCACGTCTATTTTGTCGGTAGAAACGACGATGCTGGTGCAGATATAACTTTGATTTCGTTGATTAAGTTATACCCAAGTAAAGTCAGTCAATTATGTCCTTCTGCTAATTATTAAGAAGAAAAGAGAGAGATTAAGATATACATTTTTCCGTAAGCATTCTTTTGGAAAGAATAAACAAACAGAACTTAACATTTTGCTCGAACAATATATTTTCTTCAGCAAAACAATAAAAATAATCTCGGTCTAAACTATTTCATCCACAACATGAGTGTATAGAGTTAATAAGTGGTGCTTAAACACGAACATTTTTCTCTCAACCAACAAATCTTAATCTCTGAAATACAAAGGACGTAAGGAAGCTTATAAAACTAACAAATAAAGATCTTTGAGAAAGATAAACAATACAAAGTAATGTTTGTCACATGAAAACAAGCTGAATAAAAGTGAAACTACTGAAAAATATATATTAAGGGGACCTGTAAATATAAATTGCAGTAAGGGAGCCCCACCACGCAGGAATATTCTGCATTTTTTATGGGATGAAACACTACAGATTCCCTAGGCTTTCTAACGTGACGCTGGTGGTTTCAGAAGAATGAAATGTCATAATTCTTAAATGTCAGCTGAGTAGTCAATTACATTGGTTGATCGTTACCATCAAACGGCGTTGAAAAAAAGACACCAAACACGAACCACTTGTTTTTATACTGTTCAGTTAATCGTTCGTCTGAATTGTAATTTGACATAAATATGGACTACAGAACTATAATTATGTTATATACACACAAAAAACACATCATATTATTATGACTCACATTTTCTTCATCCAAAGTTTTGGGCAGTGGTTTGTGAGAACCAAAAGATTTGGTTGGGAGCAAACTAAATAACCACTTGTGAAGTTTCTCATTCAATACTCTTTTAAAGACACTAGATTCTGTACAAAGCAGATTTTGTCTTTCAATTTCGAATATTTTTTATTTGCGATTTTTCAAATTTATATACACACATTTTTCAAGAAACAATAATTGCAGCCAAACTTTCAAATACTTCAAGAGAGTGAAAACGGTCCTTTCAAAAGACGGGGGATTTGCTGGAACTTCCTTTCCGTGCCAGTGTTATTGGGTCTAAGGAATGAAAGGACGTATAAAGAATAAGGGAACCTGAAAATTAATTTTGAGACTGCTTGAATCAAAGAATAGACGGCACTCAAGCTAAACTGAACAGTTCATGAGTGTCTATTGACACGAAAAAAGAAAGAGAGCTGGTAGCTATGACCTTATAAAAGATAAGAAAAAATAAAATAAAAGAACTAGAAAAAGATTTATGATCATGAATGACAAGATGGCGCCACTGTTTCTTTTCATTAGCTATTTCAATGCTTACGGCATTATTCCAACTGTGGTAGATATACCTTTGCTTAAAAATTAACTTCTCTGAATCATCCAATACGACTTCAAAGAAATAATTACAAATTTTATATTAAATCGACTGTTTCAACATAGAGTATGCAAAACAAAATATCCTAGTTAGTTCAACAGTTTAGATTGGAAAGAAACTACAGCTAATTTTATGTTAGAACCTGTTAACGTCTGTGGCACTATTTTCATAGAAATATGTGATTCTTTCAGTCAAAACACATTCGAAACGAAGATAACAATCATGTTTGGCTTTCTTCTTTTTGAAATGTTTATCGAAATTACTGACAGATGAAATTTATAATTCACGAACAAGAATTAATTGGTTGGCAACTATATCATGACATTTATTAACGGTACCGGATTACCGAAGTAAGATGTTAGACCAGATTATGAAAGATATTAATCTTTGGTATCACATATAACAGACTATAAAGTTACACTAGAAAGTAGTGCGAAAAACTTCTTTTTTGAGAGTATGAAAAATAAAGAAATGTTACGAACCGTAATATTTATACGTCCAAATAAAGATACTTGTTCAACCTTATAGTATCATAAATTTGGAATTTAATTAAGAATGAGATATAAAATTATTGAAGCTAGATCTTAAATTTTCGTGTTTGATTCAATGTTACAAACACCAAATGTTTTCTATTAATGGCTGGAGACGGCTTGAATGGGTAATGAAGAAAAACTTTAATATAAGTTTAACATAACAGCAAATGTACAAAGTTTCGACAAGGTTTTGTCATCATCGGTATTTGTTGATATAATTTTTGTAACGAAACTGCCTGTGTAATTGGATTGAAATGTAATCTGGGAAGTATGATAAGATGCAAAAAAAAGGAATAATCAGTCTTGCACATTGGTCATAATAAAAAATTTTGTCAGGTTTAAGAAACTATTAAAATATTAATAAAACCTAGGACATTTTGACAACAAAAATATGGTTTTTTTTCTTCGATGTTATTATAAAACGGAAACTTTCAAGGGGAGATAACAATTAGTGTGAATTTAACAAATGATAATATAGAATTCTCATATATATTATTTTAGTAGTTTTTATTCCTGAGTACAATTGTGTTGAAAATGCTTTTTCTGTAAAGGAAGATTTTAAGGATTCAATACTGTTACGTCTCCGTTCGTTAGTTAATTTTCCGTAAATTCGTTCCGACGAAACTTTAGCGACACAAGTCCTTTCTTAAATAAAACTGGTTTATTCTTTTTGTATATAACTTTGCGATACACTTAATTTCAACAGTCGCGCTATAACAAACGCTACAATTCTCAACGAACGTCTCACGTGCTCGACTTCAACAATACTCAGTTCAATTACACACACACTGTTCCCGTCACGTTGTGGCAGTCTTATATACATAAGACTAATACATATCTAGTAAACGCTAGGGCATTCATGAAGGAACAGGATATTCCTAGAAAGACGTGGCGTGATACTAGTCACGTGACCTCGCTGATGCAACACTGCCCCTCCTTAGTATTGTTCGTCCCGAACAACAGCCACTTACAATAAACCAATAACAATTAACAATAACTTAATTAAGTGTACAGAATTACAAACACAAAATTACAATTCAATTTTACGGGACGTATCTCCTTCCGTACTGGTCTCCGTCTCGTTGGCTTCTGCTTCACGTGGGGTTCATCTGCTTCATCAGGAAATGTCCTATCATCGGTAACAGTCACATCAGTGGTAGTAACTTCATCAAGAGCTTCACTGTTTCCCTTCTCAAAACCGGGTAGAGTTTTTTCTTTGACAGTGGCTTTTT